TATTATTTCTTTATAAAGTGTTATGCTATTTTTTTAATTTAAAATTTTATTACTATTTATCTGCAATATTATAGTTTTCTTATTATATATTCTAACAGTATACAACTAAAAGTAGTTCAAATTACTACATATTTACACAAAATATCTAATGTACTAGGCATATATAAACATATATATCATAAGTCCAAAATATCAATATTCCTAAGAAGGAGGTGATTGTGATTAGGTTCGTACCCTCCAAATGAAGGGCCACCTATCTAAGGTGGTGGAAAACCTACAAATGAGTACTATTGGCTAAGTAAACGCATATGCTCTTGGAATCTCCTCTCAAAAGCAGCCTCCATCTCTAATACTCTCTGTGAGACCTCTGTCTGAATACATGCAATTACCTCTGTCTGAACTCGCTCCACCATTTCTTCTCGAACTTGCATAAGCTTAGATTGCAACTATTGGACCTGCGTCGTAAGCATCCTAGTGGTAGAAGATGAGGCTTCACTAGTCTCATATCGTCACCTTGGTATGCCATGCTCTGTTGGATCCTGTAGTGTGGACATCCCTTGCATTTGACCCTTTTTAGGGGGTCCAACTACCTCTTTCTAGATTTATGGATCCCATGCTGGCCATAAATCCTTGTTTGGCCCATGCTTTTCCACAAACTTTCCATGAGCATCATTCTGATCCAAGAAGAAAATTTCATTAAAATTAAAAATAATAATAATTAATATCATTAAAAAATTTGATACTTACATAAGTTTGCTTAGCTTGTGGACAAATCCAAGCGGGTGGGGTACCTTCTTGAGTATCAAGTCTCTGAGTCGTGTGAGTCAACATGCATGATTCCAAAGCCGTAGGCCTGACTTCTCTCTTTTTCACTACCTATTAAAACATCAATAAAATTAAATTTTAGAATATATTTGGATGAAGATTAGTAAAGGAAAGGTAAGGAATGTAAATAAAATATTAAGAAATAAATATAACCATTTGATTTGTGTTTTTTAATTTAGTTTCATTATTGACAAAGAAAAAGTGTTGTTTTTTAATATTGAATTTTAATTTTCAAGTATCTTTTATGACCATCATGCAGATATTTTTTCTTGTTAAGTATCATTCGGTTTATTTTTTTTAAAACAATTTAGCATTAATAATCAATTTAACATATTTCTTTTTAAAGGGTTAGAAATGGCCATCATGCTTTCTTATTGATCTCCTTTAATTATATGTGAAGAAGTGGTTCTTAATTAACATCATATGCCAAAAATAAATGATAACTTTCAACAATATATATAACTATATTCTACTAGCCAGTCAATTCTCATGGATCCCAACCGCTACGCATCCAGTTGTGTGGGTCACATGTGCACCATTTGCCCAATTATGTCAACCTCTATCTTGTAGTGCAATATATTTTGGACTCTTTCATTTTGCTAGTAAAATCTTTAAGGTGTCCTTATGCATGAACTCAAGTAATTTCTTGGAAGTTTCTTGTGCCTTTCTAACTCGATGAAGCTCATCTTGAAAACTATTCCAGCAATATAATTTCCAAATCCTATGGACGCGAGCATCGTGCTCCTCCCTATAATATGTTATCTGCATGCAAATATTAAAATTAATTAAATTAATCAAAAACACATTTGTTTAAAAACAAGTTGGTAGAGTTCTCCCTAAAATATCAACTTCCCTTGTTAGCAAAAGAACAAAAAATATATAAAAATATTCAACACTTCCATACCATAATCACCCACATCAAATTCCAACCATTAAACTCACAATAAATAAAATCTATAATAATTCAAACCAATTCATATCAAAACTAATTATGATTATATTTGTTTTTGGAAAAACTGACAGAGTTTCCCCTAAAATATCAACTTCCCCATGTTAACAAAAGAAAAAATATATATATAACCTTATGCAACACTTCCACACCATGATCACCCGCATCAAATTCCAACCATTAAACTCACAATAAATAAAATCTATAATAATTTAAACCATTCCATGTCAAAATTAATTATGATTTTATTTTGTTTTATGGAAAAATTGATAGAGTTTCCCCTAAAATATCAACTTCCCCCTGTTAACAAAGAAAAAAAATATATATATAACCTTACACCATGATCACTCGCATCAAATTCCAACCGTTAAAATCACAACAAATAAAATCTATAATAATTCAAACCAATCCAGCTAAAGCATTGGTTTTCAAATGTTCTCAAACTTGGGTTGTAACCAGTGTTTGATAAATTGAAATCATGATCATCGACACCATGGTTACCATCAAGCTTAAATTCAATCCAACTCTCTTCTTGTATAATTAACAAAGATACCAAGATAGTGGTAGGTATAAGGAATGGAGGAGAAAAGAAGTAGAAAGTCAAAATAATAGAAACCTCAATCAGTAATTTCTATAATTTTCTATTTTATTTTATAACCTTTATACTTGAAAATTCTCCCAAGCAATCCTCTTCTTTTTTAGAGGCTAACTGGACCAAAAGAGCACTGACTCATAATATAAAGACTTCCATATAACTGTTGCAATCCTCCCGAACCTTTCATGACTAAATGTGCCTCGTTGATTTATTAAAAGCAAATTTCTTCAACTCGGGTCTGCTGGAGCATTATACCCCTTATCCATGCCACAACCTGTCTTTGGCACAACATGAGATAACTCCTCCTCAAGCTGAGCATCCAACTTAGAATCAAGCACACCAAACTCAGCATCCAATTCCACCTCCAAATTACGCTCTTCAGCCTCTTCCTCCATTCTTGCATCATCACCAAGGTTCTGGTCGTCCAATGGTGACTGGGTAACAATAGGTTGTTGCTGCTGTTGTATGGGAAGCTAAGTCAAACTAGATAGCTGTTGCTGGAAGGGAGGCTGGCTCAAACTAGGTAGCTGTTGCTGTGTGGAAATAACCCTACGAGGCCCTTAAATAAGATGATGCAATTGTCTTTGTGGTTTCGTCGGTGGATCAATCGACCATCTAGAGGATGATGCACCTCAAGTACCTCATCCCATGTCTGTATACACAAAATAATAGAAATACATAAGTTTCCTTTTCATAATAAATAACACAAACTTTAAACAATAAAAAAAAAACAAAATAAAAATATTTAAAGCTACAATAAATGGAGATTTTTAATTTGCTTCTCTAATTAATAATGCCTTTCTTACTATGGCCAGGCCAAATAATCTTTGATTTAGTCTTTTATTTTATACTTGTTAAGTGGCTTTCTCAATATTTGCATATGGACTCACAATTCCACAGATGATGAGGGTTAAAAAAACTTGAAACATTTTTTAAAAATAAACTCAAATATTTTATTTTATGCTTATTAGAAACTAAATTTTTCATTCTTAATTATCATAAATTTGTAATACAACAACATTCTTGTTCTTGAAAAAAAGGAATAACAAATTACTTCTAGTAGTATTTTATTTAAATTCAAAATCTGATTTTTTTTGCAAAATGAGTTTTTTAAATTCGTTAGCTTGTGACTGCTGCATTATATGTGGTAGTGTGTTTTGTTTTTTGGAAAGTGGCAATGTGATTTCCTTTTGTGAAAAACATGCTCTGACAAACCCACCTATCCCTTCTTTCTCTTTTTATTCAAATCTGACAAACCCAACATTAATATATAAAATCATTTTTCAGCTTCTTCCCTTAAATCAACTTTCCTAGTTCGCCTCTTTTGCTCCCAAAACAATTATATATATTGATATAAATATAAATATAATTATAAATGTCTGTAATTTATTAACTTATAACAAAGAAAATATAAGTAGTCATCCATCCATTGTTTAGTTGATTAAAAAATATTAAATATAATACATCTAGTCACTGTCACTCTCGGTTAAGTAATTTGGAACTTGTTCTTCTGATGTTTCCATTTCATCAAACTCTTCCTTTTCTTCATGATCCTCATCCTTATCCATAGATTCTTCCTTCGCCACATATGGCAATTGCATGTCCTCACTAATCACCACTAGTTCTTACCATCAAGATGCTAACGAAACATAATCATCTAAAATAGTCGAGGGTTGCACCAACTGAGGCATAGGAGGATCATCATCTTGATAATAATCATTTACACCATCACGCAACAATGAAGTGTCAATTATTGCTCTTGCCCTAATGTTACATGCAATAAACCACCCTCTTCTATGAGGATTTTGAGATGGATAATGGACGTAAAACACTTGTTAAGCTTGACTTGCCAATATTTATGGTTCATCTATTTATAGTTTAAACTAAGGATTTATGTCAACTATATGAGCTATCGGATGGACCATGATGCCTTTATTGATATCATACCACTCACAATCAAACATAATCATTGATTGAGGAATATATGAGTCAAAATACTTAAGCTCGATAACTTATTTCAAACTCCCATAATAATCTAACTCATTATCATTGAAAGTGGTTCCCTTTACACAAACACCGCTATTCATGGTCTGTTTATTTTGTCCATATGTGGCAATATGAAATCAAAATCCATTAACCCAATAACCATTATACACCTTACATTTATTATAAAATATTGAATATTAAATAAAATAAAATATGAAGCCTTAATGATATAAATTATTATAATGAATAACTAACTGTTGTCTTAAA